ATTGAACCTCCTACCGGATCCTCTGAGGACAATCTGTGCCTTCTGCTCCCCCACACTGAGGTGGGGAGCATCCATTTGGGGGTGGATATGGGGGAGCAGAAGAAGCCTGTGGAAGACCCAGTACCCCTCTCCTGACTCCCACCCCCATTGGCACCCCGGGGCGAGAGCCTCAGCAGGAGTGGACTCCTAGCTCCAACCCTCAGCTCCTGCATTTTGTGTGGCCTTGGGCCACCTCCTATCCCTGGACTTTGCTGAACTTCTTACTATAAGTGAGAAGATGGGGCCAGATGATCTCTGTGTCTTTTCTCGGTCTAATTTCTGAATTAAATGGAGGGCTCAGAGCTGGAGGAAAGAGCCAAAGAGGCCAGGTGGGAAACGGGAGAATCCTCCCAGCAACCTTTCCCTCCCTCAGCTCCTCCTCAGGAGGTCCAGGGGAAGCACCTAAGGACTCCTCCCCTCCCACTGCAAGCAGGAAGGAGGGTGCAGGCTGGAGGACTCCCTACCCAGTCCCCAGGGACAGGCTTCTGTGTTCCCTGAGTGCCTCCTGCTCCGGCTGGCTGGGTGCCCTGCTGCCAGCCTGACCACAGCCTGGCTGCCTGCCCCGCCCTGGCCTCATCCTCTCCACAGCTGCATTTCTTCTTCAAAGTACACATTCGAATACCCCTCACTGAGCCCTAGTGATCAAGCCACTCACTGACGCCCCCCTCACCAACTTCTGGCTTCTGATGAGAATGGGACAGGAGGGGGCTGCACCGCCCCCCCCCCCCCAGGAAGTGTCACAGTGCCAGGACTCTGGTGGGCTCAGGGCATGCTCTGGCCCAGACTGAGCCAGCCTCCTTTTGCCCCTGCCCTTTTCTGCTCACAGCCCCATTGTCTTCCTCCAGGGGAAGCTGCCAAGGCGGGAGGCCTGGAGGGTGAGACTGGATGACCACCCCACCCCCATCCCCACCATCCCTACCGCACCCTGAGCTTGGCAGGGATCAGCAAGGGACTGGACTGCCCACATAGGGTGAGGGGCCCCAGATAAAGATGGAATGGGAAAGGGTGGCCAGGCCCAGCCTGGGGTTGGGGGTGGGGGTCACGGCTGGAAAACCTGGGTTTCAGAAAGAAGCCTGGTCTTTTCCCTGCCTCCCTATGGGGCCAGATATGAAGCTATCTTAGGCCTCTGGTTCAGTTTCTATAAGGGAAGGGGGTGAAAGGCAAGATGAGATGGGGGATACTGGGTGGTGTTTTTCCCAGTGGAACAAGGGGAGGGTTAGTTTCTTTCATAGAAAACACAAAACAGAAAGCGGAAAGAGGAAGAGAGAAGGGAGAGTGATCTGGTTGTTCTGTGAAATGAGCTATTTTCTACACCCACTAGTTCAAGGTATAAATAAAGATGGGTCAGACATTAAGAACTTTGGGGGGAGGATTCAGGAGCAGGGAGCAGGTAGAAGGGAGCTGGTAACTAGGAAGCTAGCGTCTCTCTCTCTCTGCCTCATTCTCAACATGGGATCTGTTAGGGCCAGAGCACTGACTAGACAAAATGGCCTCAAGACAGCCTCGCCAATGTCCTGGAATCTGGGATTCTGCGATTCGCAAAGATAGGGTTACAGATGTGATAGAGAAAGACAGAGAGCCTGGCGGCAGAGTTTAGAAAGCATAAATTGCATCAGGGGAAGAAGGAGGAGAGGGAAACCTCTGGAACCTAGAGCCAAGTCCCTGAGCCTACTCCAGGGCTTGGCCACTCCCCTCCAGGACCCTCCTTTTCTAACCAGGACTGTTCTGTCATTCGGAGTTCCTGGGATCCTCTCTACTTCTAATATGGCTGCTGCCAGAATGTCAGAGTGGGTTGCGATGGGCTGCTGCAGGTCCAGTTGCCTGCCAGTCCACTGCTGGAGCCCTGACCTGGCCAGTATTGTCTGAGAAGCAGGGAGAAGAAGGCCAGTAAGTAGGCCCTAGACCTCAGGGAACAGCCTGGAAGTTCCTAGCTTGAAAAAGCTCCTAGCCAAGTGAAGCTGGGGGGTGAGGGTGGGGTAAAGCCTCAGGCCACCTGGGATGCTGAGTCTGGCCCCCTAGCCCAATCCTAATCTTGGAGGGCAATGATGGGTGTGGTGGGAACAGGAGTGTAAGCAAACAGAGTCAAAGATCTTGAGAAAGGGAATCTGGGCTCAGACTAAAGGAATGAAGTATCAGAAACAGACAGAGGAGAATGAGAGGGCCAAGGCAGGCGGGAGAGGTAGGTTCTATCTGAAAAGCATCTGAGTGAGGCGGTCTCTGGACATTTTATCACCCCAGCCCCTATCTCTTCACCCTGCTCACCCTGCAGCTGTGGCCATGAAGGCTTCTGTGTTCTCCCACACCTGCCCTCTTCATCACCTCCCCCATCCCTTGCTTCTCAGCTTCAGGGTCAGTCTCCAAGGGACCGGGTCTCCCTCCAGCTGACTTGGCTCTCACTCAGCAGCCCGTCCTGAACAAAGGAACCCCCACAGATACAAATCCAAGAAAGGTGAATCAACCAATCAGCAACACTCCATAAAATCGTCCCCAGTGCTTTTAGCCTCTAGAGCCCCAAAGGCCAAGGCTCTGCCTTCCAGTATTAGGGAAGAGACACAGAGGAGATCGTCATTGAAATGCAGTAACTGGCCCAGCCGGTAAGGCTCAGTGTTTGAGCATCGACATCTGCACCAAGAGGTTGCCAGTTCGATTCCCAGTCAGGGCACATGCCCAGGTTGTAGGCCAAATCCCCAGGGAGAGCATGCAGGAGGCAGCCAATCGATGTTCTCTCTCATTGATGTTTTTCTCTCTCCCTCTCCCTTCCCCTCTCTCTAAAATCAATAAAAAAATATATAATAAAGTTTTTAAAAAGAGAAAGAACCTCAGTAACTGGCAAAGTTGCCCAATGCATGGGGTGTATTGGGAGCACAGAGAAGGCAAGGGAGGGGAGACAGAGGGACAACTTCATGGAGGAAGCATCATTTTAATTGGAAAGATAAGATCAATTTGGACAAATGGAGAGGGAGAAGAGGAAAGGCAGCAACTCTCAGGGAAAAACCCCTGCCTCCATGCCCTAAGAAAGGACAACGTTAAGAAAGCCTCCCTTGCTCTGGCCAGTTTGGCTAAGCGGTTAGAGCATCGGCCTGTGGTCCAGAGAGACCTGGGTTCAGTTCCCGCTAAGGGCACGTACCTTGGTTGCAGTTTGTCCCTGGCCCTGGTTGGTCGTGAGGATGGCAGCCACTCGATGTGTCACTTTCATGTCGATGTCTCTCTCTCTCTCACTCTCCCTCCCTCCCTCCACCCCTCCTACTCTATCTGAACAAAAAATGAAAGAATGTCCTCGGGTGAGGATAAAACAAACAAACAACAACAACAAAAAACAAAGAAAGCCTCCCTCCCTTACACGGGACCCTCTCCGATTTGGAGAGCAAAAGAGACATCCCTTTACAAAGTTTTGCCTGGCACCCTGGATTTTAAACTTAAATGAATCCCCGTTACATCCATGAGGTCTTTGGCCAGGAGAACTTGGGGCTCGGAGGAGGGAATTTACACTCAAGGAGTACTTCCCAATGTCGGATCATTTTGCAAATCATCCCACCTAATGCTCCTACCAAGCCTGCCAGGTAGGAGTATTGTTTCCCTATTTTACAATTAAGACGTTGAGGAGCAGCGAAAAAACGTGACTTGCCCAAGGTCATTAACAAATGGAGATTAGATCTCAGGTCTATTTCAAAGCTGCTACTGCATTATGCTGAACCAGGATCAAAGGATGCATGTTGCCTAGCCGGGACCTGGGTCACCCTCGATTTGCCCCCTCACTGACACCCCTGAGGGACGTTCTCCCGCATCACGGAAGAGGGATCTCGGCCAGCAGCTCCATGTGTGGGCATCCTCTTTTCTATCTCCCTAGTAGAGACAGTTCTGCCTGCTCCACCCCTGCTTCCAAATACCGGGATGGGGGGGAGGAGTGGAGTGGAGATAATCCAGCCAATGACAAGGCGATATGCAAATAGACAAGACCCTGCCTTCTTAGGATTGGCTGATACATCAGCAATATTGTCCAAGTCTCTCCTCTCTAAACTCTGAAGCTATTCCTGACGGTTTTTGCTGCTCTGGAGACCCAGAAGGAAAAAAAGTCCGCGGGATCCAGATATCCGAATGGTCGCGATTCGGCACCCACCTTCCTAGCCCCTGCTCCAGCCCCCAAGGCTCAAAGTTCCTGCAGCCTTCGCTGCCTAGGTGTCTGCTCTAGCTAGGGCCAGTTCCGGAAAGAGGTCTTCATCCCTTGGTTGGCCAAGCCTCTCTCCCTTACACGGGATCCTCCCCGGTTCCCGGTACCTCCTGAGCTGCACATTTATTTTATGCTTGACCTCATATCTGCAAGGTCCAGGCGCCTGTGTCCCTTTCCTGCCTTCCTCCTCTTCTTTGCCTGGGGAGGAGGAAACAGAGAAAGCCAAGGTCTTGACTCAGTTTCCCTTTCTGTCACTTTTCTGCCACACTGAAGGAACCCAGCAAGAGAAGTGGGTAGATTTGTGGGCAAAGTGGGGCGGGGAAGAGGCAGCCATTTGACCCCACCTGTCTATAACTTCCTACCTTGTTCCTTTCTTTCCCCCAAATCCAGTCCACCTCCCCTAAATCCGGAGTCCTCTTCGCAAACTCTTTTCTTCGGATCTCTAACTACAGATATTCCTCCTGTCTCCCTGGTAGCTCTTTCCTATCCACCCACCAATTCCTTGGTGACCTGGACTGAGCTCATAACCTGGGAAGGATGTGGGGTGTAGGGCACGGGGGAAGGAAATACAATAGAATGTGCGGGGGTTGGGGTAGGTTAGAGCCGCCTAAGTGGCAGTTCAGAAATGCCCCGCGTGGAGGCCGGCCGGAGAGCGGTACGCACCTCCCCCGCACCGCCCCAGTGCGCAGGTAGAGCCGGGAGGCAGCGGGACCGCGATTCCGAGCAATCCATCACGAGGTCCCCACCCTCGAGCGTCAGGAGCCGCACCGGGACAGCCCGATGCAGCACTCACCACCACAGTCCGCCGACGTGCGCGGGACACAGGAGCAGCAGCAGCAGCAGCCCGAGGCGGGAGGGCACGGGCGGCAGCATCGTGACCGCTCTACGGCCCGCGGGTGCGGGCAGGGGGCGAGGCTGCGGAGCCAGCCGGTGCGCGCGGGGGCCCGGGCTTCAGGGCGAATGCGTCTCCGGCGGCGGCGGCCAGGAGGCGATGGCTCCGGAGGCGGCGGGGGGGCCCATCCTGGGCGAGGAGGGTGCGGCGGAGGCGGAGAGCGGACGGGGCAGCCAGCGCCTGTGTCTCCTGCCGAGCTCGCTCGGGAGAAGAAATCAGAGCCGGGGGCGGGGGTGGGAGGGGAGCGGGGCCCGGGCGGGGGCGGGGGGCAGGGAGGCTGTTGGGGTGGCAGTTGCGACAGTCAGGCGGCGGGACTCTCGGGAAGGAGCTTTGAGCCCCGGGGCGGCAGGCGCGGAGCGCTGCGAAGGGAGGGAGCGAGGGTCCGGGGCGGGGCCCGAGCGCGCTCGCGGCTGCCGGACCCGCCTGCCTCGCCCCCTCACCTCGCCTCCCGCGGAATGGGAGCCCCCCGCCGCCGCGCGGAGTCGGGGGCAAGGAGGGGCGGGGAAGTAGGGTGGAGCGGGGTGAGGTGGGGAGAAGAGGAGCTGAGGAATGGGGGACGGGCTGGAAGGGAGACGTTTGACAGGTTTGTTGACTGTAAAGAGAGAAAACTTCCCAGGAATGAGGGAGTTTGGGTGGGTGGGGGGGAGGGCGGTGCGGAGGACGGTGCTGGAGCGGGGGCCAGGAGAGGAAGTCCGCCTGGGGCTCTGGGTGCTCCCGGGAGGGGTGTCTGTCGAACTCGAGGGTCAGACGGGCAGACTCTGGAGGGGGTCACCTCTTACCCGGCTCCGCCTCCACGCCTCACGCCCCTTTCCCAGCCTTTCCTTGAGAAAAGGAGGAAGCCCTAGGCCTTCACTCTTTCTCCCCAGCTACCCCGCCTCTACAAGCCCACGTACAGGGGAGGGGGGTGCAGATGGGAGGTTAGGCTGCAAGAGGAACCTCATGATGGCGTGCGCTCCAGCGCTTGCACTCATAAGCGAGCGACAGAGCGGAGGTTGCAGACTTGCAAGAGATTGAGGGGTCAGAATTCGCTGCAGCCCGGCCTCACATATCCGCGGGTTCCTGCCTCACGTTGCTTCCCCAATTTAGTGGGGCCAGAACGGGTGGGAGAGCCAGCTGCAGGTGAGATGGCATTTATTCATTCTCTAATGCCACAAAAATGTCTTTGATGCCCCTGGCCCCCTCCCCACGTGGGGAGATCAAAGGCTCCGTGGGAAGGAGGGACAGCTCCATTCATCACGGCCTTCGGGCTGGCAAAGGCTGCAGTCCCTGCTCCTCCCCTCCGGCCCCACATGCCCCAGGGGTGCTGAGGGACAGGTGGTGCGCGACATTCCACAGCAAACGCCAGTCTCTGAACCACCACCATCTATCTGGAGTGGCCATCAACCTTTAGGAATGTACTGGGGTGGGGAGGACAGATCTAGGACCTCAAGCCTGAGGTGCAGTGGGGAGTTTGAGTGGGGAGCCCCTGAACTTGGAAAGTGAAGCCACTTCCAAGAAAAACACCTCTGGTGAGCAGAGAGAAGGCAAGATTCTGAGTACCCCAGAGAGCAGAGACAAATGGATCAAGATGAGACTGGGGGGAAATGGGATGTGACAAAATACCATAGGTGCTTACCCCGCAGGAGGAGGCAGACCTGGGAAAGGGAAAGAGGGTGAGAAGTGGAGGGAAAAAAAAGAAAGACATGGAAAGATGTTAGCCTAGGCACATAGGAAAGCCTCTGGGTTTGCTGGAAGCCCCACCCCAGGGCCCTGGTGTCTGGGTTGTGTTGGTCTAATTCCTGGGTACAGAGAGTTCTGGTGAGGGGATGGGACACTCCAGAGAAAGGGAGGAGACCCTGAGGGAGGGGCTGGTGGCTGATGGAGTTAGTGAGGAGGGCATGGCCCAAGTGCTGTCCTTTCCATTTTAACCCTTCATAGTGTCCAGATGCCATGCATGGTCCCTGTACTTATTAATTTCATACACAGTTGCTGTTTCTGCAAGGCAATGCCAACTCACTGCACACTCAAAGACATGCCCAGGTTAGGCACACACTCAGGCCAGATGGCGCTGAACAGACTGTCAGGGACTCAGTGGGGGTCCCTGGAGGCTGCAGGTGGCCAATGACCAGCCCCCACCCCAGCCACTGCCTGGGTTCTGAACCCCCTGCCCCCACCCTGCTACTGTTATTGCAGATTATGAAATGCTCTCCCTATCCTGCATTCTTCTCGGAGGCAAGAATTTTAATGTATTTGTCTTTGTCATCAGGGGACCAGGGCTCTGGGACCGCCCTGCCTCTGCCTGAGGAGGGAGCGCCCCAAATCTGGTCCCAGCTGCCTCCAGACCCCAACCTCTCTCCATTACCACCCCCTCATGCCCTAGCCCTGCCCCTCACCTCCCCCTCTAAGACACAGTCTCTCTGTGGGGTGGATAAAAATGATGTTATTGAAACAACAGAATTGGGAGCAGTGGCAGGGAGCAGGGATCAGCTCAGGAAACTGGGGTGCTTGCCAAGAAGCCTTCTCCCCCGCAGGCGGCCTTTCTGCCCCCACCCCCCCACCTTTCCTACAAACACACACAGATACACAGATAGCCCCACCCCTACTGCAGTACTCTCTCTGGTCAGATCTTGCAGAATATTTGGCCATCCCTGGTCTCCCAATTCCTTGTCCTCTCCTCCCAACCCAAAGTCCCATTCCAGAATCAGTTGGCTCAGTTGGGCCTGTGGAAGCACTGGGGCAGCGGATGTGTAGGCTGAGTCTGTGATGGACGGGCCTCCTGAAGCCCCAATTACCAAGGCCTGGGTTCCAAAGGAAACCTTGCCTCTACTCACTCCCTTTTGCCTTTTCTGCACCCTCATCTAGGAGTTGGCTGGCATCTGGGCAAAACCAGAGCAAAGACTTCTGCTGTATGCCCTCCAAACCTTCAGAGAGATGAGTTCAGAAGTTACTGAGACTTCATTCCCCCAATATCACTGTAGAGACTTTCCTCAGAGAAGGACTGGGGGACCAGAAGATAGAGAGAGAGGCGCACAAAGACAGATCAAGGTGCAAGCACACACATGCACACTCCCCCCTCTCACACACACAGCTTGGCACAGACTTTCAGATAACTCCACAGAAACCACAAGACAGCCTCACCTTCCCCAGACAATGCTGGATAACCCACACATATGGATGGACACAGATAGGCTGGCTCAGGATGAGACTCATTCATGCCTGCCTCCCTGGAGATCAAATGTGAGCGTGGGCACACACACACTCACACACACACGCACACACACCACCTCTGCACAGAATGCAAGTAGAGAAACGGTCACAAGAGATTGGAATGGGAACACAACAACCCAGACATAGGCAGCATGAATGGAGTGGTGCCACTCTAATCCCCTTTTCTCTGTCCTCTGGGCAGTGGGCACCTTCCACTCTTCCCCACACTGCTCTGTCTTAAGCCCCAAGAACCTGTCAACTCCACATCTAGGCCCTGGTGCAAAAGAGAGATGGAAAGGAGAGACATGGGTGTCTGGCTGTGGGATTGGAGAGGAAGGAGGGGCAGAGTTGGGGACTGTTGGAGGGGAGAGAGGCACCTGGAGAAAGATAACATCAGAATTGCTGCAGGCGCAAGCAGAGCCCTCTGTCTCTGTCGGATTCCCTCTCTCTCTTTCAGTGTGTTTTCACGTCTCTCCCATCTCCATAATTCGGTCTCTATTTGTGTCTGTCTCTAAATCACTTTCTCTGTTTCTTTGTTTCTCAGAATGACTGAAGCTGCAGGAGCCCAGGAATTTGGGCCTGTGACCCTTCCCCTCCCAATAACCTCTCTCTCTCCCTCCCTTCCCACTGCCCTCCCTTCCTCCTTTCCCAGCAATGGGACCTAATTCTCATTCCTTTAGGATGGTGACAGGACTTAAGAATTCCTAAGGGCCCTGGGTCTCTGGGTCCCAGGAGAACAGAGGAAAGGCCAACTCTCTAGAGAGATGGAGGGAAGGAAAAAGATAGAAAAAGAATCACTTTCCTCTCCATTCTGTACCCCAGATCCTACCACTCCAGCTATTCCCCGTCCACCTGAAGTCATGAGAATGCACCTTCCCAGCTGAGAGGGTGGGAACTCAAATGTCCAAGCTTTAGCCAGGCTGGTCCTTGCCTTGCAGGCCAAATTTCCTGAGACTCCCTCTAGGCCTTTGTTCAAGGGAAGCCCCACCCCAGGCCCCAGAGTCCCCCGCAGAGCCCACCTGACTCCCATCTTCCACATCTCTCAACCTACTCATGTCCCCAACCTTCCTATCACCCCATCAGTCAAAAGGAGAAAGAACAGGGTGGGGGCAGCAGGGGCTGAGAGGGAGGGGCTGCTGGCCCATCAGGACTGGGCTGGGAAAAGTCAAGGAACATTTGTTTCCACTTAGCTCAGCCCCAGTGGCCCTGAGTGGGAGTGGTAGGACCCAGGAGCTTCTCCAGCCATCCCAGTCCAGGCCCAGCTCCTGCTTCTGGATGGGGGGCGGGGGCAGAAGGACCCTGGGTATTCTGAAGGGAGCCCCTACCCTCTTCTCGATGCTCCATTCTTTTCCAGGTGACACCAGCCCCCCACCCTCACCCCCAACTCCTGCACTGTGTCAGGTCTCACCTCTTAAGAAATCCGGGCTCCTCAATCTAGGCCTTCAGCCCCAGACTCTCTCCTAATTGTGTTGGTGTCTGCCAGCTATCTCTCCCAGGGCATCAGTTAGAAAATTTTTAATCGAACACCTATTATGTGCCAAGCACCCAGCTAGAAAACAATGGTGAGCAAAAGCAGACATAACCCCTACCCTCAGGGAGCTGATCATATCATCTCACAAACAAATGGAAAAACACAACCTTGGCCTATGCTGTGGAGGAGAAAGGAGGGGCTATTAGAGGCACTGGTGGGGGGACTGACCAAATCAGAGAAGGTGGAGAAGGCTGCTCTGAGGAGAGGCTGCTCCAACTGAGATACTAAAAATTAGCAAGGTTAACTGGGAGACACAGGGAGGGA